ACATGGTGCTCAATAATGTGACAAAAAGAAAACGTCAAAATTATCTCCGGATGAAAATGGCCAGGTTTATCAGACTACTAGGGCTATCTGATACCGACTATCTCTTGGTACACAATCTTCAAAATGTACATATGATGGTTATAGCAGCAAGTTGCACATAGCGAGCGACAATAACATTACTAAGTCTCAAAATATATGTTGTTAAATAAGCATTACACTTATAACAAGATTCGAACCTTGTTCGGTTAGTTTACCTACGAATATTAGCAAACGTATGGTGATTTCCATAGTTGGTGTTACAGCTCCTTAGTTCTCTAACCACATATGGAAGCAGAATCATTTTTCTTTAGTCACATATGACACATAATTAGGTGCTGGAGGTATGATTAAGCGTAATCCTTTAACAAATCAACTAGTTCTATATTGTTATTATTTAATAATTACGCTCATATTTCACAGTCCCCCGTTATAATTATGATATATATACTAAAATAAATAATGGTCGCTTGGCAACTGCCTTGCGGAAAAAACTTTGTCATACACGTTTATTCAGTAAACTACATTATAGTTCAGTAGAATTTGGCATTAGGTAAACTTCTTCTTGATTTTAAAATCATTCGCTGTTCTTAGACAGATACTTTTTATGGCATCTCTCCTCTTAGGGAGTAAAGACCGACGGAGTTGCAATTCCAGCTTTTGCTGCCGCCATTGGCGTGCATCGACATATAACATAGAATATAAAAATCTGCTTCATATAAGGATTAGAACAAATGTCACACGATCAGTATTTATCATGAAACTTCATATTTACTGACTATGCAGCTAGTTATTATACTGATGTGTAAGATTTCGTGGAAATCAACTAACATTGACGAAATGGTCCCTAAATACTGTTGGTTCGGACAACAGTAAATATTGATTGTGTAATGTCCGATAATGACGATCATATTATTTTTTCAGTTTTCTATATTTCTCAATACTACCCACTGCGAAACATTACTCAAGCGAAGCACCCATCTTTTAACTACAAGCGGGGAAAATTGTATACAATAATAATACATTTAGCTTTAATTAGAAAATCGAGATCGTGTTTTGGAAGTTGCGGGTCTTTTGGGAGAAACGATCTCTTTGCAAAAAGGATGACATCAATTTCGATACAATTACTACTTAGATTTTTGAATACCATATTTCATAATAGGCCAGATCTTTAGTAATAGTAGTATACAGACTAAGAAAGGCACACGCTTTTGGAAATTGTGTTTCGACTAACACAACTGAGCGATAATTGATGAAAACAGAGCAGTAGTCGAGAAACGCACTTTATTGTGGAGATTCGTTTTGTCGATATTTTGAGGCATCGTCGCCAGTTCTAGATAAACTTCCAAAAAATAATACGATCCGTAATTAATGCCTAAAACACCTGGATTATATTTGTCACATACGTTTATTTTGTGTATAGCGTATGCGTATAAAACATTATTTTTGGCGTGCTGTCACTTTTGAAATAAGCTAGCATTTGTGTACGTTGTAAATCCTCGGTATTCAAAAAAGTTAAGGCTGGCTACAGTCTATATTTACTACTATTTCGATTCCGGCCATTGCAAATGGATTTTAGATTGAAACGTACAAGCCGTTGGTAAATTATAAAAATAAAATTCAGGCGCGGAACTAGTCTCGGCTTATATGCTATGACCTTCAGAGTTCAACAAAAATTCGAAATTTGGGTACAATTTATTATGTATCAAATGTCTTCATATCAGTATCTTGGGTATTATAGGGCCAATTTTACTATCCGTAGTTCAAAATTGTCCCTAAGGCGCAAACTTGAGCAATCAGAAGGTGGTTTTGAAGTAACGGATCTAATAAATATAATCGATATCTGTCAGACTAGAAAAAAATTACAGGATTTGCGCAAGATGGGCCCCTAATCTCCGTATTGAATCCAGAAATACTAAATCACCTGGTTTACCTAGAAAAACCTGTTTTATTTTATTTGATCCTGGGTGCCAGGCTGCGAATTCAATCAATCAAAAAGAAATATTCTTAGATATATGAACTACAGTTTCCCAGTATATTTGGTTAACGCACTACCTATGTCTGGTCGATTATTATTTATGAGATAAATATTTGCAATTTTCGTATTTATCCTAAATATGTAAGGTATGTATTTTAACAAAAGCATAGGAGAGTCATAATTATAACTGAAATCCAAATAACCCTTCGTCCTGAGTTGCCACATCCTAAACTAAAGTCGTGAGGGTGAAATGACGCTGAATTCAAAAAATAAATGTCAGATTGATCGCATTGCATTCCACTTGAATTGAAAAAGAAATGCTATTATAATCAACAACCATGAGTGGACATAACAGACATTAATTTGTTAATATACTATTTACGTTTATGGTTAGCCTGTCGCATACCATGAAGTTGCAGTAGGTACACAACACTGCGTTTCCAATGTCGTCTTGCGAGAAAGTGTTCCCTTCTAACATTTACAACCCGCTTCAACATACTGAACACAGATGGCGGGCTAGTTGCAACTTGGTGCGAGAATGAGCCAGGAAAATTAGCTCTGAACACGGGTTGAACATACAGAAAAATCCATATGCCACTGACGACGGAATGTGTACAAGTGAGAAACACGAGAAGCGTGCAATACGTATGTTAGAAAGAGACACACCACGACGCCTGATAACTCTTGCCGCATTGCCATCGGCGCACTCTTTCTAACATATACGTATTGCACGCTTCTCTCTCATACACATTACCTCGTCAGTAATATTTGGATTTATCTGTATAAGTAGTTGAAAAGAAAGATTGTTTATTAGTATTATTACTATTATTTACCCGATGTTTGATAAAGGACAAGCATTCTATGATTCAATCTATGCCTCCTCTCAGAATTTGTTGAGTAGAATTTTGTACTGCAATGACAAAAATCAACGATCGAATTTGACTGACCTGCTACAAAATAAAACTCTCTTGTATTTATGTTTGGATATGACACTTGATTCCGAGTGGTGAAATTTGCGACCTAGTGGAAAATTTTGCGACAGGGATCAAAGGGAAAAATAGATTTTTGTAGCTAAACCGATTTATGAAGAACTTCTTAAACGTGTTTTGATTGGTCGAATTTGTGAACTAGTCGCGTCTGAGATCAAATAAAAAAATAGGCGTTGTGAAGTATTCCTTGATTTAATATGGGAATCAGAGACCCATTTTACACAAATCGTATGATTTTTCCCTAGGCAAAGAGGGGTGTTTTACAAGAAGTCACTATATTCATCAGACCAGTTACTTCAAAATCGACTCGTCGTTGCTCGTATTTGGGCCATAGGTACAAATTTTGATTACCTCCTGTCAATAGTGATGCCTAAGTGTGGTTATGAAATCGTTGGCGACTGTTGGGTAACAAGCCATTATTTTCTCTCATTTCCACCGTGGTCTACCAACTAAGAAATGTGTCCAAAAATGGAAAAAGGCATTTTAGTAAGGATAAGCCGTCCTTGGAGGCCGTTGAGTGCTGGTATTCAAGTTTCAAGCGTGGCTTATTCAGCTTGTGACTGATAAACAAAGGTCAAAACAGAGGGTGGATGTTCGAAAATCAATATCAACGGATTCAAATAAAAAATATCGGAACCGTGTACCTTTTTTCCAGAAATCAGGTTTATTCGAAAACACTGAAAATTGTCTGCCACAACTATTTGCAGCACTGAAAATTTCAAGGCCTCCCAGATCGCCGCTGTGCTCATGGTATCATCAGTTAACACTGTTAACAGTTTTTTAACAATCTGGAATCCAAGTGTTTTATCGTCCCCGTTACATCCCTAACATGGATTTTGGTTTGGACCGCTAGTGAAATCACAAGCTAAACGGACTTAGGTTTGCATCCGAAAATGAACTAATTGCAGCCTAGTAGTAGTCTTTTGATATTATTGAGAAGGGGTAATTGGTACTCGGGCTTAATAATTTGGTTCTTGCGAATGATGAGGGGCATTCAAGTCATTTTACACTAAATAGTCCTTTTTACTACAAGATGTATGCCAAGCTCTACATACAGCATCAATGAATGTTTTGCGCTGCAGGCCGAGAATATTTTTACTCAGAAATCAGCTTGTACTTTTCTCAAGGTTTTTGATGCGCTGAATCCGAATCCGTCGTCCAAATCTTTCAACTGGTTTTAGCTTCCGAGATATACCAACCTAAAAGCGCAAAAATAGCGTTTTTTGCCTATATTTGAGGTTTTGTAGCATTGCGAATTATTTATTTTTTGCCAAGAACCATATCTCTTTTTCTTTCGCTGAGGTATGGCACTTTGAAATTTTCATTTTCCTGATCTAGACCGGCTCAGCTTCTATCAAGAGAAAGTATTTTTTTATTTTTAAGAAATTTTGCAATCGAAAGTCATTAGGTTAAGCTCGACCTTGAAAGTTATAGTTTGGATTATACTACACCAAAATATTCATAACAGGTTAAAGCATTTTTACGAAAGACCACAACTAGCAAAACCCCTAAATGCATAAAATATCTGAAACTTACCGAAACCACAAGCCCCCCAAGAACCCTACGATTGCACACTTTTTAACAAAACATGTCTTCCTCCTGATCTCTCGATCTAGATCAGAAAAAGATAAATTTCAGAGTGCCATACCTCTCAAAAATTAAGCCGCTTAAGGGAGCTTGACTACGGATTTCGATTTAGCGCAACAAAAACCTGCGAGAAAGTTTACTCTAACTTGTGTCCCACTTTTCTCGGCTTGCGTAATGATTAGATTCGACTTACAAGAATCACACTGAAATTCATTTTCCTTTTTCCAGGTACTGTGAACGCAAACGGTGAAACCAAGCGGCAGCGAACCTCGTACACCAGGTACCAAACCCTAGAGCTAGAGAAGGAGTTCCATTTCAACAGGTACCTCACCAGGCGGCGGAGGATAGAGATCGCGCACGCTCTCTGCCTCACCGAACGCCAGATCAAGATCTGGTTCCAGAACCGCAGGATGAAATGGAAAAAGGAACACAAGATGGCCAGTATGAATATCGTTCCTTACCACATGTCCCCTTACGGGCACCCGTACCAGTTTGACCTGCATCCTAGTCAGTTTGCTCATCTTGCAACTTAGGATGTGATGTCTCTTCTTTTGTTTATGCAATTTGTATAGGTTTGTTTTATTTTCTCTTATTTTGTTCATTATGTTTAAGTTGTAGCGAGTAGATTGTCTGGTGTACATATCTAAGCGATAGTATTTCACAGAAAAAAACCTCAATGCTGACGTTGCGGTAACAAAACTATCAGTCCAGAATCATAAAATATTGAAATGGATGTACAGGGTGTTTCAGAACTATGGGATCAAACTTGTAGGGGTTATTCAGTGTAACATTAGAAAACATTTGATGATAGGACAGTTATATATAGCGAGAGCCCCTCGTATATCTCCCTAGCTGGTGTACTTATATCTCATCTTTAAAAACAACCCCATATTATAAATTCTTGTTTGTGCCCTTTAGGCATCAGTTTACACATTTTTCTTTTAAACGTCCTACAGGCGATTCGATGCACTTTATTTACTTAAAGTACAAGTATCGTTTCATGCAACAATGGTTTTGTTACCAAACCTAAGACTACGTGAGCTTACATGCGATTGACTACTAGATGTAACCTAAAGTAATAGCTGATGTAAACTGATGCCTAAAGGGCACAAACAAGAATTTATAATATGGGGTTGTTTATAAAGATAATATATAAGTACACCAATTAGAAAGACATACGAGGGGCTCTCGCTATATAACTGGACCCATATCCGGAAAAGTGTCACTACGGCAGTATACAGCCCTAAGACGCGTTAAAATTTAGAAAGACGATGAATTGCCTAAATAGGATTTAATGTTGGCCCTTTGTACATGATATCATCAAAAAACAATTGTTAAAAATGCCTTCCTCCAACCTGAATACACCGTTCCTATGGGGACATGTAAAAGTATTTCGTTTACGAAATTCCAGTAGAAATAGAGCAAGACTTAATTGGACGAATTACAGCAGCATTTGAAATCATTCAAAACGAGTATCAAATTTTTAGTCAAGTCGACCGAAATCATGTGCGACGCTTAAATCGGTGTATTCAGGTTGCAGGAAGACATTTCGAACAATTCGACCCCTGCAAGGAAGACTATTGTAACTCAGTTTTGGTTAAACTGAGATACGGGCATTAGGAGATTTTCTGATGAATTTCGTTGTCAGAACAATGACGATCTCAGCAAAAATATAGCGAAAATGACAATTTTTTCAATAAAGTTTATTCACTTACTATAGTTTTCGTTGGATCAATTAAAGAAAAACGGACACTTGCTCTTTAATGCGAATCTGAGTCACTCAAATTATATTCATCATCGTGTTCTCCACTATCATCGTTCTCAACTTCTGTATTTTCAGCACTGTTAATATCATGTCCTCTTTGTATTCTTTTACCTTCCTTAGCCTTTAGAGAAAAATGAAGCAGGTAAGCCTCAGAAATGCTAGGAAGGCTGTTTGCTTTTGATTTACATAGGTCTGATAGACCATTTAAATCTACTGGAAGCAAGCTTGTGTAAAGCAAAGACAGTTCCTGAAACGTATTGTTTTGCGGTCTCATTATGTGATAATCAATGTTACTATCCTGAGATCATCAACATAGTCACACTTATATTTCATTTCAGGCGGCACTCATCTTATTTATTTTCAACTTTTCTCCACAATCGTCTTTGTTCCAATTTTCCGACCTTTTATTTAAAACTAATGTATCCACGACCAACCGCTGACAGGGCTCTTAAGCCCTAATCAGAAAGATATAGGTCTGTAATATAGGTCTGTATCAGGTCCAGATTGAGATGAAAGATGAGTGTCGTCTTAGCAAAGCCGAGGACTGTAGTAGTTGAATTCTCTTTTAAACTTTTTTAATTCACAGGCATGAGCGAAACAGACTGTGATGCGACGGAACCCAATGCATAACGTGCAGAGGAGGATGCTATGTTTAAACCTTTTTGTTGTGTTGAAAGAGTTCATCACTATTTATGAACCAAACTTGCCTGAATTTAACGGTTCAGCAACTGCAGTTAGCTTCTTTGCATCTGCCAGAATTATTTTGGTCCTTGAATTCATTTTAGTTCGCTTTGGAAACTACTCTTTTCGTACAGCTAATACTTGAAACGTTTTCACTATTAATTACCGTAACCTTAAACTATGCGAAAATCATAGACAGTAGGTCTAACAGTGAGTTAGCATTTCCGTGATTTTTTGCATCGAAGACTAAAGTAACTCAATTTGATGTAGTTTTCGCGGGAGCAACCCCTACTATTATAATTACTAGATATATGGCGTAGAAGATTTACTGGTTGCCTATAGTTGCATGACTGAGATACCTTATTCTTCCACTAAAGTGAACCCGAGAAAGTCTATCGATACCATATAGTAAGTCTAAAGCAAGGATTTTTGAGTTACTATAGTCTTCGCTGCAGTGGTCGAATTGTTGTGACGATATCATGTACAAAAGGCAAAAATTAAATGCATTAAATCCTATTTCTAAATTTTAACGCGTCTTAGGGCCGTATCGGCGTAGTGACACTTTTCCGGATATGGCGAGCCTATACTCAAATGTTTTCTACTGTCACACTGAATAACCCCTACAACTCTGATCCCATAGTTCTGAAACACTCTGCATAGTGTGATTGATAAGTACAAAAGAGAGAAAGGTCGAAAAATTGTGCACGACAAAATATATCCAAGCATCGTTACCAGAATTCAGTAACCTTTGGTTTGGATAGCTCGAGCTGGGTCTCTGTGTGCAAAATTTGTAATTGTCATTTTGTATACATTATTTCCATCTATGGTTTGACATCAAGGTTATTGCATGCGTAATGCTGTTGGATTCTTTTTATTATTCTGTCAAATGCCACAGTTTTCAGCAAAGAAAGATAGATAATATGCATTTATGTCCAAAATAAAGTTCGACAATCATTTGTTAAACGCTGAGACTCCTATGTCTCAACATGCATCAAGTTCTGTTTATTTCATGTTTGCAAAATGAACATTCATCACAATTGTGAACTGACAAACTGCGTCACTCAACTTAATACTATTTTATGTCCATTGCCAACTTGAACATTGTCTGTTTCCAGGGGAAAAATGCAAAAACATGGCAACTTGGCAAGCTTACGTCTTTTCCGTGAAATACTCTTGTAACTTTTATCAGCATGATGGCTCTGAAAACAAATTCGGAACTTTACAGGGAACTGTATACTATACGACTCTATGTTCTACTGCCTCTGTGTTTGAATAGCGCTGTATGTCTGGCTTGTTAGCTTTAGTTGTACAATATGATTCATGCTCTAGTTTCTTTAAGTCACAAATTGAAATGTTTCATGGTGGTATGTCGGATGTGCATTGGTTGCAGGGCCGGTTTAACAATTTCCATTAGAATGTCAACGTCCAGTTGAACCCATGTACATTTGCGTTAATCTGTCAATCCCTATATCGGATACTGTGGAATAGACTAGTTTACTTTTCAGCGTTACTGGGTTGTACGATTGAAGTTATGAAATTTGGCTAGCCAATATTTTGGTGAGGTGATGTATTTCATAATTATGGTGCTTTATTCCATATGATTTATTTTTGAGAGCCTCCTTTGTTTTTTTCTTTGAAATACAGTATTTTTGTAAAGTAAGTCTCTCGGCGCATGCACCACTATTTCCAGGTGGAAATCTATGAGATTGCTGCATTGCCAGCCTACCAGGCTGCGATGATGGCACTAAGTGCCTGCAAGATTACGTCCAGTCTTGTATTGTAACGCATAGAGACTCTGTTTAGTTTAGCAGTTATGCATCCGGTATCGGGGCACGCTGCCATAAAGGGTAATGATATGGCTGACGCTATTACGAAAGCAGGATCAGCGAGCAAGCTTATTGGTTCTGAACCAGCCCTAGGCAGACACGGAAGCTCAGCTTACGCTTTGGCTTACCTCTGTATAGAGCCAACCTCAGGTTGTTGGTGGGACTGTTGACTGGCCATACACGATGATGCGTCACCTGCATGTGAAGGGAGTGGCTGAGGATCCCATGTGTGAGCACTGCGTTGTTCTGTGTCGTTGGGAGGCTTTGAGTTACTGTAGGCAGACTTTACTTGGGGCCCAACACCTTTGATTCGGGGCTATAATGAGCTCTGCTAGAAGGACGAAGCTTGAAGCTTAGGGGATGTAGTGGTGCATAAGGGCCCGTTTATGCGGCTTATGCGCAGGCTCCTCTCAATTTGTTAGACTTTTGTGTGGACAGACGTACTGCTAGAAATTTAAGCTAAGAATTACAAAACAAGGTGGAGATGCTCATTTGAAGTTTAAATAAGCGTTCTTAGTTTATTTTATTACGATTTCTGCTGTTTTCTCTGTTCCTGCTGAATTTCTACAAATATCAGTATCTGTCTAAGAGTTGTTACGGTTTTACGAAAAACTAGTTTCAAAAACATTTATTTTAAAAACACAGCACCATCGAATCTATATCTATATGAAGTTTTGTTCTTGGAAAGACCAACGAAATCATGACTATGTGCTTTGTGAACACCCTGTATGCTTATCCTAAAGTATAAGAATGCTCAGTGTCCTCCAGTAACGAATCAGTGGTGGAGAGCATCCTGGAATTAAAACGTTATAATACTATATTATTTTATTTTGCATTTGATTTTTTCACTCTTACCGGTTTACCCACATTGTAAAGATGGTTTGAAAGACACAGAAAATTTTATATTCAAGGGTCTAAACTTGACAACCAATAATTCTCATCCACCACCATGAAAACACAACACCGCCCCATCCCCCACACGTACCACCACCAGAGGCGTAGCCTAGGATGCCGGGGTTCAACTTTTCACCCCAAGCCTCTATGCTTTGATTTCTGGCTACGCTCCTGAGTACCACATTCCATTAGTACTACTACAGCCCCCCTTGCCTTGTGTGTTGCAGATTTCCACCTGGCGTCGCTGCAGGACGAAGGGTACGCCTTCCACCAGGCGATGGGCATGGGCGGAATGGGCGGCATGCAACGCGGGCTATACGCATGTGCGGGCGGCCCGTACAGCTAGCCGTGGGCGGCCTACAACGGCGATTGCGGCCCCTCTTAAATATGCCAGTGGGGGGGCGGTCGCCGGCGCGCGCTGAGGCGTCACGCGGATGGGGCGGGCACCACCGGGAGCAGTACGGGGGATGGGCGGTGATAGAGTACCTAGTATCAATTAGGATTTTGGTGGAGATAGGTAGGTAGGGGTCTCTGAAAAGCCGAAGAGACAATTCAAGTCGTTGTAAAAGTCAACTCAGGTTGAATTTTGGTATCAAGGTACATAGTTAGGATCTTTAACGTCGCATGCCCCTTTTTTCCAACAGTCTGCCTGGAGGACTATTCTTAATGCTTTTGGTCTTATTGTTTGATGCTGTGTATTGAGATGAATGAAAAACAATGTTAACAATTTCTTTCTTGTCAAAAAACGTGTTTTTTATGCATTTGTTAACAAATAGTATAGCTCTAAAAGTGTATGTGAATATTCAACTTTTATGGAAGAATGAAGCGGGTAATTACTTGTTTTCTTATCACAACCTCTCTTTAAAATATCTTTGCATTTCTTGAAAGCGCACTTTGCTGCAAAATGAGGTTATATATAAATCAAAGTTTTTTTCGAAGAGGGAAGGTTTTAAAACCGAAAGTAATCACCCGCTTCATTCTCCCATAAAAGTGGAATATTTACATACAATTTCAGAGCTGAAGCAATTGAAAAAGAAATAAAGGATTTAGAATACTTTCCCAAATAGGCAGTTAAATAAGGACATGCAACCTTAAACTCAAGAAAAGAAGGCTACTGACTAGTTGAAAAAAGTGCAATTACAGACTTGTACCACTGTACATTTTTCAAAGAAAATGGTTTAATTTATTGGCCTCAATTTTATGTGATCTCACACATATGGATGATGTTCCATGTAAATGTCAAATCACTAATCTAAGCAGGTAAACTTAAGCGATGTAATCTTTAAACTACAGCATTCGTAGCGTTATTGCACATGTACAAGAAAAATGCCCCAGAAGGTGATGAAGTGCTGGTCTTTCATATTGAGACGTTTTCAAACCAACCGCGTTGCTCATTAACAACATATTTGATTAACTTTGTTTAAATATGTGATGAATTAGAGGGTATTCAGTAGAAGAGAAAATAGTGAATGATATCTTTCTGTAAATTCTTTATTTGTGTAAAAATCATCATTTTCATTAAGAAAGGAAAGATACTGTTTACTGATAATCATTTTTCGTACTCTACACAAATCCAAATGAGAAAATGAATAAAACTTTTATCTTAATTATATTAGAATCTTCATATTGATTATGGAGGAATAAATAGTCTAATTTGACCCAGTTTTCTGCAAATAGCTAGAAAAATACTCAGTTACCAGGATACAAAAATTTAACCTGCTTTAATTTTCGTATATGGGGGTCTTACGGCTTGGGGATGGACTATAATGGACACTGTAATAATCCTTTACTACCTAACTCTAATGTCACCACCGCTCCCGTCGCAACTGTTGGCTTAGCTCGTCCAAAAAACATCCGACTGTCGCGCTCACCGCGCGTAAAAACTGTATCAAAAAAACGTACATGTAGAAAAAATGGACAATTAATATAGGACAAACATCTGTGTCAAATAAAGTCCAAGTTAGCTTGATTTACAGAACATCTTCAAGTGACACTTGCCTGAGGATATTGTAGAGATCGTTTTTCAAAAAAATATATTAAATTCACTGTCTCAACAGTAACCACTAATTCTATTCAATATGCCTGTAATACATAACGTTTGTATACAAGTTCTAGTGGTTATGATTGGGCAAATTGAATGAGCTATTCGGAAACGTCACCCTTAAATCGAGCTGAGACGGGCTTAAACTAGATAGGTTCTGTAAGTCAAGTAAAACAGTAGATAATTCAAACAGCCATCCATTTTTGAAAATTTGTTCAACCATTACTGGTGAAAGAACTGGTTTTGTGTTTTTTAACTGATATTTAACTATCAGGATTATCTAAAAATCTCGAATCCCTTATGCAATAGCGTCATAAAAACTTATACTCACAGGCTGTTTTCATTATCTGCTGACAGACTTCTTATGAAGAATATATCAAAAGAATATTTTGTAATGAAATATGTTCATGCAATGTACTATTTTACTGTTCAAGGCAAATAATGTAGGCTTCCTATGTTATAGCTGATATAGCAACATTGCAAAATATGAATCATTTGCCTTCATCTTTATTTGTACTTAAAATGCTACGAGGAACAAAAGTATGTATATGACATTGTTAAAGGTAACTCTAAAATACAAAAGTGAGTGTACATATTTTCTTTCTGGATAACTTGCAATCTTTTAGAAATCCCAGAATACTTTAAGAGATGTGCAATATATTGTTATGTTTTGTTTCATAGACAAACAAAAATAAACTTGTTGATTTGATCCTGGATCCATTATTATTGTTTTGTGAAAGACATTAAGCTCACCTTTCTATTGTTTTTGAAATGAGAAACAAGTGTGATTATACTAGTTCTAGGAATTTTAGTGTAAATATTACAGTGAACGGAACAGAATATCCACCCTTTTGTAAATATGTTCATGGTTTCAAAGTAAATAAATTATTATATAGGTTATGTACTGAATGGGTGAACACTTCAGCCAGAATTGTATATAAAAAATATTAATTATACGCTATGTGTAACCCTGTTGTATAGATATACCTCATGATGTATACGATAACTCATAAATATACAGAATGTTTCAAAAAACAAGCTCAAAGCTGTACGTAGTAAAAAGCATAAGTATAAATCGAAAATTCCAAAAGCTGAAGGTTTGTGGACATGAAAGGTGCGAACAACTTGGATATAAGTACGCCATTTCGTTAGTAACTAAATTACTAGGTCAGTCTTCGGAATACTGTTACGGAGATATACGTCCTGTATAGTTATAGCATTTCACTTCGTGACAACATTACTACAGCTTTTTTGCAGCACTCTCTATATTAAGCATACAATGACAAATAGTTTGCATAAGTCACCAAGAGTATTGGTAACGAGTACGAGAAATTCTGACAAAGTTGAGTTGATATGACAAAATGTGAGTGAACTGATGAAGAGACAAAAAATTGATATTCCGAAAATGTGCAAATGTTAAGCATATTGATTTCTAAAACATGCAAAATAAATAGAGAATTTGACTTCCTGAAAAAAATTACATATTCAGGTTAGAATTTTTCAAACTAACAATGAGTTTAATAGTTAAAATAGATAGCAGACCTTGTCAGAATTTCTAAACTTACTACAAAAAATAGTTGGTTTCATATGACCGCCACATTTGGAAAAAACAGTATTTGGATGAGGATCAAACTGGACTATTTATATTAATACTACGATTCCGTACTGATTTGAATGAATGTAAAATTGTACTATAGTGTGTATATCGTTAGCTCAACGTTGTTTATATTTCCGTTCGACTTATTTATGTACTTCTTGTAAAACTGTGTGTTTGGAACAGACAACTTAGTTTGTAACATCCCTTAATGATAGTTATTATTGTAATTGTCCACTCTGAATAAACTATTAATAAAATATTGAAGTTGGTTTATACTTACCAAACATACACAAGCACGTAACAGTTCGCTACTTGTTTTCGTCGACCTTATTTTTTTTTTTATATCGAAACAGCCGCGCAGGCAGAAGCCTAAATGCCGGAACACCGCGGCTGCTATGATGATCCCAAAGAAATTTTGTTAATACGATTTTTGAACTGCCTAAGGTTAGTAGAACTGGGAAAAGCTTCCTCTTGTAGATTGTTCCACAATCTAGACACCCTCGGGACAAAGGAGCGGTCGTATCGGCCAGTTCTGGATGTACGAAGTTTGACACGGTTGAGATGGGACGCCGAAGTCAGGCGGGTCTGTCTGGCAGGCACATCGCGCGGCGGAATCATGGAAGAGAGCTCTGAGGAGCAAAGGCTGTTGGTGTAGCCATACAAAAGAGCTAGATCGCCGACGGCCCGCTGGTGTGAAAGAGTCCCGAGACTGTCTGTTAGAGAAGAGTCATCGATTAGTCGGACCGCCCTCCTCTGGACAGCATCGATCATGGACAATGTAGTCAGGGTGGCAGCACCCCAAATGTGTGAGCAATACTCGAGGCTAGGCCTTATCTGGGCCTTGTATAGAGTGAGAAGGTCATGCGGAGAAAAGTACTTCTTAGCCCTAAACCAATTGCCTAGCTTTTTCCCAGCAGCTGCAGCTATTGAAGGGATGTGTTCGTGCCAGATCAGGTCCTCGGTGATCTGGACTCCGACCAGCCGAAATGAATGGCTCTTTGGTAGAACTCGGCCGTCCATCGAAACTGTATGAGCGCTAGGACGCTTTTTGTTCGTCAAAGTACAGTACTGTGTTTTGCAAGCATTGAACTGTACATAATTGTTGCGTCCCCAAGCAGTGATAGCCTCCAGGTCTCTTGTCAGAGAGGAAGTCGTCGCTAGTCTTCTTTTTACCAGCTCAGCGGCAGAGATCGGCTTGTCACTCTGAATTCCTGCATGTAGAGTGCTGTCATCAGCGAAGCTGTGGATTGGGTTGATCGTGCAGGAAAGGAGGTCGTTGATATGTAAGAGAAACAGTGTTGGAGCCAAGATCGATCCCTGGGGAACACCCCACCACGTTGACGTTGTGGGATAAAGAGGAGAATCCGTCAATTACGACGGATATCTTGCGGCCAGAGATAAAGTCAGCCACCCATCTGCAAAGATTTTCTGGGAGGCCATAGGATGGAAGTTTGCTTAAGAGGGCAGCGTGCCATAGCTGATCGAACGCTTTAGTGATGTCAAGAGCAACGACATGAGCCTCACCATGAGACTGGATGAGTTTACTCCACAGTTGCGTGACGTAAGCTAGGAGGTCCCCTGTGGATCGTTGGTGCCGGAAACCGTACTGCCTGTCACTAATCAAGCTGTGACGTTCGAGGTAGTCAACATGTTTCAACATGTGCTGACACCAGTGCTGACAAGAGACTGAGAAGTCACGCTAAATGAAGGCTGGATAATGTTGACACTTGCTTTAATTGTGAGTATTTGGTTTAGATGATGGCGTCTCTGAATGAAAAACTATTTGTGATTTTAGGTAAATCGGGTGCGTATGGGCCATAAAATAGCCATTTTTTACTCTACTTCGTGGCGCTTTAGCATCTTTTGGAGGTCAAATTTGAAATCAGC